GGCGCCGCTCGCGCTGCTCCCTCTGCTCCCGCCGTTTCTGCTTCAGGTCCTTGTGCAGCGACGTCTTCCCCTCGGCCTGCAGCCGGATTGCGGTCTGGATGGCTACGGGGCCGAGTGGGACCGAATCAGCCCGGGCCTCGGCCACCGCGGCCAAGGGGCTCTAAGGGTCACTCGGCTGCAGTGACCCAGCCCCAGCTGGGCCCAGGCTGGCACTCACCGGCCGTCCACTCCTGGCGCTGGCGCGTGTCTGAGGCGCTCATCTCGTACGTGCGGCTCGCTGTCTTCACACAAAACACGCAGCGCTTTCCTTCGCGGTCCTGAAGCACCTAGGAGAGGGGTGGAGGGCCCAGGCCAGATGGCTTCACTGAGAGGGCCACATGGGCCCCAGCAGTGCCCCAGCCCCAGCCCCCTCCTCCTCCTGGCTGACCATCTTCTCTGGGACCTGCCCTGCCCCCGCCAGGAGTATGCGTGGTCTGGGGTGGATGGTTCGTTTCCGGGGTGCCTCTGTGCCCACAGTTCTAGTTTTTGTTCTTTGAAGGCTAGCTGGAGCCATTTTCATCTTGGTGTCTCCTCACAAGGTTTAGTACGTTAGTACATGCTTGAACATGTGCCTGGGGCCTCACCACCTAAACTGCTGATTTCCACTTAGTCTCTTGAATGTCACGTGTTCTCCAAGGGTTTGGGGTTACTGATGATACAGGGTTGTGTCTGGCGTCCTCCCCTCTGCTAAGTTTATGTTATGGGAAAATAACAGCTGTCTGCAGTAGCGCTTTCTTTCTTTCTTTTTTTTTTTTTTTGCGACAGAGTCTCACTATGTAGTCTTAGCTGTCCTGTAACTCATTATGTAGATCAGGCTGGCCTTGAACTCATGTAGTTCCTCTGTTTCCCAAGGGCCAGGATAAAGGTGGGCACCACAATGTGCCCAGCTCTGCACTGGTGATTTTTTGTTTTGTTGTTGTTGTTGTTGTTTTTAACATTTTTAATGACTAATTTATCTTTATGTGCACTGGTGTTTTCTGCGTGTATGCCTGTATGAAGGTGTCAGATCCACTGGAACTAGAGTTACAGACAGTTGTGAGCTGCCATGTGGGTGCTGGGAATTGAACCTGGGTCCTCCGGAAGAGCAGCCAGTGCTCTTAATTGCTGGGCCATCTCTCCAGCCCCTGCACAGGTGTTTCCTGTATAACATTTATCTACGGTGATATTTTCCTATCAGGCACCACTTCATAGAGAAAGACACTGGCTTCTCCACACCCTGTCCTCTTATGTAACAAAAACAGATAAAGCCTAGGGTTAACTGATCATTCTTTTCTCGAGACAAGGTTTTGATATGTAGCCCAGATTGGCCTCTACCTCCAGTCTCCCCTGTCTAAGCCTCCTGAATGCTGTGAGCCCTTAATAAATCTTTAATGTAAAAACAACAAGCAAAGATATAGAGAGACGGTGGTACTTGGACCCCACTGTTAAGTGTGTCAGATGACACAACTTTCAGAAAAGGTGGCATTTCCTCAAAACTTTGAATTATCCTATGGCCCAGTGATTCTACTCCGATATATGTGTGTGCCAATGAGAAATGAAAACATATCCAATAGAAATCTGTCCTGTGCCAGGAGGCTGGACCAATGGCTCCACAGTTAAGAGTGCTTGCTTACTGCTCATGCAGAGGACGTGGGTTTGGTTCCCAGAACTCACTGGGCGGCTCACAACGGTCATTAACTCGGGTCCTGGCAGACCTGACTCTTGTGCCTCCCCAAACGGGTGCATATACACACACTCAGGTACACATACACATAAAATTATATGGAAAACAAATATTTCAAAACCCAGTGCCAGACAGGGGATAATTTTGCAGTTGTTGGCCCGCGAGGTCCCATAGACCCCCTATTACATTACAGGCCGTTGGAATTACGCTTCAGAACTTGACGGTAAGACCCTATTGCTGAAGCCGCCAAATGTCAGAGTCCCAGAACGTGGCGAAATCAAACTAGAAGGTGTGGACTTGGAAGCTGTATCTCTACTGGCTAGTTTTCATTGTGCCGGAAGGTGAAAACGGCAGAAAACTCATCATGGATCATGCTCTGCTGTGGCGCATGCGCAGTCACAGTCATGACCCGCCTGGGAAGACACGCCCACTGGCGCAGCAGTGCAAGAACGTCGTGGGAATAACCAGTCACCTTCTGATTAGATCAAAGTCCCACTTCACAGGATGAAACCCACACCTGACACCAGTATTTAGCGGCCCATGGCTAGACAGGGCATAGGTCCTAAAGGAGAGCCCCTATGAGTATGCTGCTGGATGGACAGAGGGTTAAACTACTCCTAAAGACGCGTCCCGCCTCTCTCATGCCTCATTCGAGAAGCCTCTGTTCACAGTGGATGCTGATGAATGCCATGATCCACGACCTGCCAAGTAAGGGATTGCGCAATGCAACCCTAAGGGGAACATACACACTGCAAACTCCCTCCCAAGGCTCAGGGATCATTTTGGAAGAGAGCGGGAAGACTGAGGACTACCAAGAAACATTATCTTCTGGCTATGGCAGGACAGCTGCATGTATGAACTCACAGCAGTTTCGACACCCGTGCGAGCCCAAGCCAGACCCAATCCAGCAAGGACAGGTGCTGGGCACTCTATCAGCCCAAGCAGCAGAACTATTGGCAATTGTTAGCTATCGAGAGAGGAAGAGTCCGCTTTCTCTTGAGAGTGTAGCCCTTGGTAAGTCAGCCACTCTCCAGGATCCAAGAATATTTGGATAGCCCAAATTATCTTGAAAGATTAAAAAAAAAATGGTACAAAATTGGGTGTGTAGGGAAAGGGGAGGGGTGGACTGAGGAAGAGTTGGGGAATGGGAGGCAAACATGATGAAAACAAGTTGTATGATGTTCTCAACTATAAAATGACCTCAGTTCAACCCCTAGAACCCACATAGCAAGCTAGGTGTGATGTCATCAAAATTGGGTATGGCGGTACAAGCTTTTTACTAGCGTCCAGGAGGTGGAGACCGGCAGATGATACCCGAGTATGATGGCTACCAGCCTGCCTTACATGGCAAGATCCAAGCCAGAAAGAGACTCTGTCTTAAAAACAAACAGCCGGGCGTTGGTGCCACTCGCCTTTAATCCCAACACTCGGGAGGCAGAGGCAGGCGGATCTCTGTGAGTTCAAAGCCAGCCTGGTCTCCAGAACGAGTGCCAGGATAGGCTCCAAAGCTACACAGAGAAACCCTGTCTCGAAAAACAAAAAACAGCAACAGCAACAACAAAACAAACAATGAGGCTTGGAGAGCTGGATGGTAGCTCAGTAAAGTGCTTGTTGTGAAAGCATGAGCCCTAGCCCAGCACTATGTTAAAAAGCCAGGCATGATGGTGCTATCATCCCAGTGCTTGGCCGGGCGTTGGTGGTGCATGCCTTTAATCCCAGCAATCAGGAGGCAGAGGCAGGTGGAGCTCTATGAGTTCCAGGCCAGCCTGGTCTACAGAGTTGAGTTCTAGGACAGCCAAAGCTACACAGAGAAACCCTGTCTCAAACCTCACCCCCCCCAAAAAAAATCTCAGTGCTAGGAGGCAGAGAGAGAGGAGAGTTCCTGGGTCTCTCTGGCTGACCAGCCTATCTGAACCAGTGAATTGCAGGTTTCAGTGTGAGAGACTCTGCTGTGGAATATTACTTTAACTGGGTAAAGGTGTGTTACATTTGTTTATGCTGCGTTTATTTTAATGATGCAAAGATGTGTTGATTTGTTTCACCTTGCCTGCCTAAGGTGATTGGTCTAGTAAAAAGCTGAACAGCCAATAGCTAGGTAGTCAAAGGATAGGCAGGGCTGGTGGGCAGAGAGAATAAGCAGGAGGAGGAATCTAGGCTGGAGAGAAGAGAATAAGGGAGAGAGAGAGAGAGAGAGAGAGAGAGAGAGAGAGAGAGAGAGAGAGAGAGGAGACACCTAGGCCAGCCATCCAGGCAGCTGCTAACCAGAGACAGAAGCAGCAGGAAAAGTAGGACATACAAAATGAAAGAAAAAGCCCCAAGTCAAAATGTAAATGAAGAGAAACAGGTTAAATTAAGTTATAAGAGCTAGTGGGCCAAGCATAAGACAAGGCTGCACATTCAAAACTAATAATAAGTCCCCATGTCTTTATTTGGTGGTCCAGAGAAAGCCTGCTACGAGGCTCTATCTCAAAAATAAGGTAAATGGCTCCTGAAGAAATAACAGCAAAGGATGGCTTCTAGCCTACACACACACACACACACACACACACACACACACGGTCCCAGTATTTGAGAAGCAGAAGCAGCAAGAGAATTAGGAATTCAAAATAGTCTTGACTATATTAATAAGTTTGGGGCCAAACTAGACTACAAGAAACCCTGTCTCATAGGAGGAAAAAATGGAAAGATTTGCTGTGTGGTGTAGATATGAATCATGTCTCTGAAATCTCTATCGAAGTTTAATAATCCACCAATGACTTCCGTGTCTGGTTGGTGGTTTTGGTCTTTTTAAAGCGCTGGCACTGGGCTGGTATGGTGGAACACCTGCCTATCACGCTAGAGCCTCTGGCTTTGACCACTTACACCTCAAAAGGGGACAAAGTGCTGACGTGGGTGAGGATGGCTTCAAGGCAGCCAGGTGCTGTCCTAACTTAATCTACAGGAAACGGTTACAGCGAGCTTCCTCTTTCCCCCACCCTTGTTCCTGACCTTGTCTACACAGAGTCCTCACCTCCACACAGCACTGAGCATCCAGCAGGATGGTGCCTCTTTTCTCCTTGCACTCTTCACTCCCAAAGTAGCAGAGGCAGCTGGGCTGCAACTGGAACCAGCGCTCCGCCCAGTTCCTCCTCAGGTGCCCTCTCTTCCACAGATAGCCCTGCATGCAGCCAGAGGCAGGTCAGAGAGGCCTCCTAAGTCTCCATCCCCCTCCCGATGGTCCCCTAGGTCTCCATCCCCCTCCCGATGGTCCCCTAGGTCTCCATCCCCCTCCCGATGGTCCCCTAGGTCTCCATCCCCCTCCCGATGGTCCCCTAGGTCTCCATCCCCCTCCCGATGGTCCCCTAGGTCTCCATCCCCCTCCCGATGGTCCCCTAGGTCTCCATCCCCCTCCCGATGGTCCCCTAGGACTCCATCCCCCCTCCCGATGGTCCCCTAGGACTCCATCCCCCTCCCCGTCCCCCCCCCGGTCTCCACGATGGTCCCCTAGGTCTCCATCCCCCTCCTGATGGCCCTCTAGGTCTCCATCCCCCTCCCGATGGTCCCCTAGGTCTCCATCCCCCCTCCCGATGGTCCCCTAGGACTCCATCCCCCCTCCCGATGGTCCCCTAGGACTCCATCCCCCTCCCGATGGTCCCCTAGGTCTCCATCCCCCTCCCGATGGTCCCCTAGGTCTCCATCCCCCTCCCGATGGTCCCCTAGGTCTCCATCCCCCTCCCGATGGTCCCCTAGGTCTCCATCCCCCTCCCGATGGTCCCCTAGGTCTCCATCCCCCCTCCCGATGGTCCCCTAGGACTCCATCCCCCTCCTGATGGCCCTCTAGGTCTCCATCCCCCCTCTGATGGCCCTCTAGGTCTCCATCCCCCCTCCCGATGGTCCCCTAGGTCTCCATCCCCCTTCCCGATGGTCCCCTAGGACTCCATCCCCCTCCTGATGGCCCTCTAGGTCTCCATCCCCCCTCCCCATGGTCCCCTCTGTCTCCATCCCCCTCCTCCCCTAGGTCTCTATCACTCTCTCCTGATGGTCCTCTCAGGCTGACCTGTTTCAGGACATCTTGGATGAGCTCCTGGTAGACTTCTTGGATGGCCATGCTGAGGGACTCCCGACCCACGCCCCGCAGGCAGCGGCCAGAGTTGAAGAGCTCTAGGAACTGCCAGACACTGAGTCCCCCAGAGGTCTGGGCAGTTTGAGCCTCCTGAGCCATCAGCTCCTCCAGCTCACCCAAGCCCATCTCCAAGCTCATGCTGCCCAGAAGCTTCTTCAGCAGATACTCAACCTGGAGGGGAGAGGAAGGCCAGGTGACATGAGCAGCACCTCCAGAAGAGCCTGGACCAAGGGCAAGGGACAAGGGCAGGGGAAGGCCACATATAGGTGCAAACCAGGAGAGAGATTTGAGCAGGAGCCCCAGAACCCTAACCACACCCCAGAAAGCCCCCCTCTTCCCCAGCCTAAGTCCAGCTCCTTTCTTCCATAAAATAAAAGTAGGGTCATTCACAGGGGCGGTGGTGGCATAAGCCTTTAATCCCAGACAGAGGCAGGCAGGCCTCCGGGAGTTCGAGGCCAGACTGGTCTACAGATCAAGTTCCATGATAGCCAGGGCTACACAGAAAAACCATGTCTCAAAAAAACCAACCAAACAAAAACCCCCAAAAGAAACAAAAAAAGAACCCTCTTACCCAATGCCCCCAACTTTGCATATGACGAAAACCAAGGAACAATGTGGGAAGTGACTCACTTCAAGTCACACAGCAAGCAGGAGGCAGCCAGCACTCCAGTTGGGTTTCTGGTTCCAAAGCCAATCCCCAGCCCATAAGATCCGTCCCTTGTGGGAGAGCAATAGAACTAGGGCTGGGGGTAAGCAGGGCAGGGACAGGAAACCCATGGCAGAGGAACAGGAAGTGGTGGTTGGGGTACATCCTGCTGCAGCTTGCTCTCACAGCAGACAGCCTTCCTACTCTCTGAGGGGCCTCCTTGCCCCAACTGGCAGGGACACGATTAGAGTGTCCACAATGGCCCCAGCAGTCTTGAGAGACTCTCTTTAGGGATGATGTCACGCTGGGGACCACTGGGTCTCCACTGGAGATTTAGCAGGAGGAGGCAGGGCCCAGACTCCAAGCCTTTTCCCCTAGTGTGCCCTATATCTTTGGAGTCTACCTGTCTCCAGGAAAGGAAGAAAGAAAGAAAGAAAGAAAGAAAGAAAGAAAGAAAGAAAGAAAGAAGGAAGGAAGGAAGGAAGGAAGGAAGGAAGGAAGGAAGGAAGTGGAAACCCTCTAGGACAAGGCCAGACTTGGTTGTCCACTTTCTGTAACCAGAGAGTTACTTCCTGTCCTCGAGAGCCCCATCCCCCCTTAACAAAATACCTTCCTAGATTACCACTGCACCTAAGAATCCTGCTGTTGAGTCTGAATGCTCTCGTTTAAAACTCATCAGTGTGCTGGGCACTTATAGCCACACAAACATGTGTTCTCATGTTTCTCCTTCCAGAACCCTGATGGAAATGTAGTTTTGCTTCCCCTAGACAAAGGCACAGGAGATGCGATGTGGACAGTCGTCAGCCTCCAGAGCCAGCCAGGTGGGGCTAAACCGGCTTGGGGTGACGGTGAAGAGAGGATGTGGGAACGCACAAAGGCAGCCTGTCTTCCTTCATGGCTTTGCCAGGGGATTGGCCCTGAGTAACTTGGTCCCTGGGTCTGAAGTTGCTCTTACCTCGTCGGGAACCATGATTAGTGGGTACTTGTCCTCAGACAAGAAGTTGAAGAGGCACCAGAGACGGAAGGCATCCTGATTGGAGAGCAGGCTGTTTCCATTGCTGTCTGCCGGATAGTTCTTCTTGGCCGTCAGCGTCCAGCACAGCTCATCGAAGTGTTCTTTAACGAAAGCTCCCTCCTCCACCTGCCACGAGGCCTGCAAGTCAGCCAGCTGCCTCAGCCCTGCTCCAGCCTGGCTTCTTGCATTCATCTACAAACCCCACTCCCTGCTTCTGCCAAGCCCAAGACCGAACTCAAGCTGGTTCAGGAGCTTTACCAATATCTCCCACTTTCTCCCCTTAATTTCCCTGGCAACAGTGAAACTAGTCCCTCAGCCAAGGGAGAACGGAGGGGAACCCCAGAGGATAGGACAGCCAAGGAGAACCTGCAAAGGCCGTGAGATGAGCAGGGTGGAGGTTAGGTTGGGCTTCGCCAGGGAGACTAAGACAGAGGACAGGCAATAGGAGACAGGTAACTGAGTGGAGAGTGGAGACGGAGGAGCAGGGATGAGCGGCGCGGACAGAAACGGGAGTTTACTGGGTGAGTGGAGAGTTGGAGTAGGAAGCCAGGTATTAGGGCTCTGGGGAAGGGATGCACCCCACGAGCTAGGCCCCACCTTGTCTAGGATGTACTTGTTGAGGTAGGGCATGTAGCCTTGACTGGACACGGGGCCATCGTCATCATCCCGGAAGTGCTCCTCCAGGGCCACTGGGTCATGGGGGATGTGCAGGACCGTGTACAGGTTATGGGACAGCACCTTGGACAGAACAACAGTTTGCTTTCCTGCACTTTGCCTGTTCGTTCATGCCCACCCTGCCTTGGCTGAGTCCTCTTAGGGTACTGTCCAATCCCACACACAAGAGCACACTCCGCACCTGCAATCATTAAATCATTCACAGCACCCACACAGCGACTTCCGTGTTCCTGGCCGACACATGAAGTCTTCAGGTCCTGCTCAGCTGGCAGAGCTGGGATTCAGATCCGGGATAAAATAACCTTTCCCGTTATTTTATTACTGTTTGGTGGCTCCTTTCGATAAGCCAGGACTCGGTGAGTGAACTTGGTATTCCAAGCTTGTGTGGCAAGATTCCAAAGCCCAGGTGCTTCCCACAAATGCTAGGCCATCTGCAAGGAGGCACAGGCCATTCCAGGGCCTTGACTTGATCACTTCTAATCAAAGACCCAGTATTCAGCCTGCCATGTGCACACAGGTGAGCCTGATCTGGGGCGGGCCCCTCTGAACAGGGGAGAGAGCTACGGAGCGTACAAAGATTGATGGCAGCCATGTGGCCAGGATGGTACTTGTGGGGTGGGCATTGGCCGAACAGATCCATGATGCTAAAACAAAGGGGCTGAAGTTTGAACAGGAAGATTTGGTGAAATGGAGAGAAGAGGAGGCTTTGGGGGAAATTCTGTTACACTGCTTAATCACAGACAGCACAAGTGTTTAAAAATAACCACCTATTGGGTGGGGCATAATTCAGCACGATTTTAATCCCTACACTCAGGAGGCAGAGGCAGGTGAATCTCTGTGAGCTCCAGTCCATCCTGGTCTACACAGAGTTTTCTAGGTCAGCCACAAATACAGTGTGACCCTGTCTCACGGGGGAAATAAGTTACTGCCGTATACCTGTCGCTCTCTACGTACCGGCCACTGTATAAAGTGATTTAACATTTCTTATTACATTTATTCATTATGTGTGGCCAGGGCAGTGCTTAAGCCATGGTGCCATGTGGAGGTCAGAGGCAACTTTAAGGATCCAGTTATTTCCTTCCACCATGTGGGAGATGTTGACAGGCTCTTCAGGAAATATCTGTACCCACACGTCATTTTTTCAGCCCCAGTTGCTTTTTTAATTAAAAGAAACAGGACTTAATTTTTCATTTTATTTTATTTTTGTGGTTTTTCGAGACAGGATTTCTCTGTGGCTTTGGAGGCTGTCCTGGAACTCGCTCTTGTAGACCAGGCTGGTCTCGAACTCACAGAGATCCGCCTGCCTCTGCCTCCGGAGTGCTGGGATTAAAGGCGTGCGCCACCAATGCCCCGTAGAAAAAAGATATAAATTTCAACGATGCACCACGCGGTAGTGTTGCATGACTTTCACCCCAGCACTTGGAAGGCAGAGGCAGGCGGATCTCTGTGAGTTCAAGGCCAGCCTGGTCTACAAATCAAGTTTCAGGACAGCTAGGGCTATTACACAAAGAAACCCTGTCTCAAAAACCAAAACCAACAACAACAACAACAAAACCCTACCACTATGGTGTGAATTAGTCCTCTATGTATGTCTCATGTAGCCAAGGCTGGCATTGAGCGCATTATGTAACCAAAAATAACCTTGAACTCATGATCCTTCTGTCTCCACAGCCCAGTGCTGGGAATACAGATGTGTGCTTCCATAATTGGCTAAATTAGGCATCTTTGTGGTGTTCAAGAATCTATCATCTTAAAATTGGATGTGGGTTGGAGAGATGGTTCAGTGGTTAAGAGCACTGGCTGCTCTTCAGAGTACCTGAGCTCAGTTCACAGAATCCACACCTGGCAGCTCACAGCTGAATGTAATTCGGGAAGTCTGATAGCCTCTTTTGGCCTCCGAGGGTACCCACACATGAGCATGTGCACACACGCCCATGTGCAGGCACGCGTGCCCGCACACACACACACACACACACACACACACACACACACACACAACGCACGCACCCACGCACCCACGCGCGCACGCACGCACACCCCACCACCAACAACAAAAATTTAATCTTTTAAATTGGATTGGCCTTTAACTCAGCATTTTCTCTTTTTTGTTTTATACTTTGTTTTCATTTAATGCAGATTTATTTTACCTTTAGTTATGTGCTGTGTGTGTGCCTATGTGTGGGTATGTGCTCACAAGTGGGGGTGCTCTGAGAGGAGGACATCAGGTACCTGAGTCACAGGCTGTGAAGCATCTGATGTGGGTGCTGAGAGTCAACCTCGGGTCTTCTGTAAGAGCAGTGTAAGCTCTCTAGGTCTTAATGTCTCTTTAAAGTTAAAAAACATTTAAAAACAATTTTATTTTGCCTGCATCTATGCACCATGTGTATGCTGTGCCTGAAGAGGCTGCAAGAGGGCCTCAGATTCCCTGGAGCTGGAATTACAGACAGTTGTGAGTTACCTTGTAGGTTCTGGGAGCCAAACCCTAGACCTCTGGAAGAGCAGCTAGTGTTCTTAACAACTAAGCCATCCCTAAGGAGTCTCTCTCTCTCTCTCTCTCTCTCTCTCTCTCTCTCTCTCTCGCTCTCTCTCTCTCTCTCTCTGTGTGTGTGTGTGTGTGTGTGTGTGTTTTGGAGAGAGGGTTTCTCTGTGTAGCCCTGACCATCCTGGAACTCCCTCTGTAGACCAGGCTGGCCTTGAACTCAGAGATCCGCCTGCCTCTGGCTCCCGAGTGTTGGGATTAAAGGTGTGGCCACCACCACTGGTCCCAGGTATTTATTTATTATTTATGTGTGTGTGGTACACACCTCATTGCTCTCAGGAATCACTTAGACATTCGACATAGATCCAGAGAGGACATCAGCTGAGCTCTGGGGAAAGGATTTGGCTTAGGAGTTCTTGTCCTTGAGGAACGGGTGACACCCAAAAATACACAAACAGGGACAGCACACGACTATTTCACGGAACAACCTAATGACTGGGCAGAGTAATAACAGTGGTTAGTGTGCACCTTGTTTTTAAATCTGTTATTTAACAGCGTCCGTGTGGAGGTCAGAGGACAAATTATGGGGAATCAGGCCTCTCCTCCCAAAGGTGGGTGCCGGGAGTCAAGCCAGGGACACCAGGCTTGGCAGCAGGTGCCGTCACCTGCTGAGCCTTCCCACCAGCCTACCCCTGTGGTGGTGGTGGTGTTTAAGTCTGGAATGTATACTGAATTTATGGCAAAAAGAACTGGAGGGAGCATTTGAGACAGGGTCCCACTCTGTGGCCTAGGATGGCTTCCAATCATTCTACCTCAGTTTCCCGGTGCTGGGATTCCAGGTTGACACCATCTTGCCTGTTTATGGAGCTACAGTTACAGAGAATTGTGAGCCACCATGTGAGTCCTCTATAAGAGCAGCCAGTGTTCTTAACCACTGAGCCATCTCTCCAGCCCATTCCTGCTTTTTTGTTTGTTTGTTTTCAGACAGGTATTCTGGGCTGGCCTCAAACCCATTCTGTATGACCTTGAACTCCTGATCCTCCTGCCTTTCCCACCAAAGTGCAGTGACTACAAGTGCTGTCTACCATGCCCAGTAGTTTAGGCAGTTCTGGAGACCCAACCCAGGGCCCCATGCACAGTAGCTAAGCCCTCTCGTCAGCTTAGCGGCATCTCCGGGCCTGTTCCCTTCCCCGTGCAGCCATCTGCAGCAAGCAGGGGTCCTCATCTGTGACTGAATTTGCAGAGCTCAGCTTCGGGCTGTCAGCTGTCAGGATGAAGTGGTGCTCCAGCCTCCAGGCCTCCAGACGTGTAGGGCCATCCACACAGAGGGGCTGACCTCAGACTGCTAGACTTTGCTAAGCCTGGGGTGGGGTGAGGGGCGGGAAAGGAAGTGGCAGGGGTGGGGCACTGATGAGCAGGAGCTCTGCAGATCTCAATCAGCCCTGGCCAGGAGGTGGGAACTCTTAGCCTCCTCTCAGGTGAGGAAGTGTCTTGCCCAGGGTCTATCTCTGAGCACCCCCCACACCTCCTCTGGAGCAGGTGAAACTGAAAGGCCTGTCCTGCCCTGACCTACTGACTCAGAGTTTCCAGGGGTGAGGTCTAGGTGTCTATTTTCCGTACACTGACACCTGGACTCCCTCACACAGGACATCTACAATCCTTGCTGGCCCCTCAGCCCCTGACCTCAGACTGAGCAGCCCTGGGCCTAGAAGGTTCTGTATGTTCGCTCTTCCCTCTGTAGGTGTGGGGTAGAACTTTTCTCCCTGGGGACCAGGGTCCAGGGAGAGGTTGGCTGTCATGTCTACACTGACCACAAAAATTCAGAAGGGCTGGCTCTGCAGTCACCAGCCTTCAGATCCCAGACCCCTGTCTGACAGGGGT